TTTGGGTGTCTGGCGCGCCTACGCTCTTACCGACATGAAACTCAAGACTACTAGCTGGCAGGACTATGAAAACTGAATTGTACCTTCAAAGACTGCCTAGAATGGTCTGCAACTTCCCTTCACAATTGCCTGCTAGGGTTAAGTTCTTTATAAACAGCCAAGTCAAACACAAGGAAACGACAATCGTCATTTAATCCTCATAACCTTCTCAAGTTCTTAATTTCTCTCAAACTATTATGACTTATGCATAAAGGTCATTTGTCGGATCTTTTTCTCTAGATGTTCATCAATGAGGCTAATGATGTTTATTCTTTTGTAGGTGAAATTTTGTCAAATCGGTCATGGACCCATATACAAATTTTGCATCCACACTTACCACGTCTTTCATGCCACACTTATACGTACCATCTCTCTAATACAGATGTGACTCATATGCTTGGTGAGCCTTACCTCTATTAGAAATATAGTAAAAGTGATATGAACATGTATTTTCACAATACTTGGGTACTAACTGATCAGTACTCATTTTACTCATGAAGTGGCCCAATAAAACGAAGAAAAATGTACTTTTAAACACTCATTATTCTGGTAGCCACACCCCTTTAATCTCCTAACCAAACACCAATATTATCTCTGATCCACCAACAACTGAAGAAAATTAAAACCAACAGAAAACTCAATGGACTGATCCATCATAGATATTAATTTAATCCTCACCATAATTTATATCTTGTACAAACACATAGTTTGATTCCTATGCAAAACATAATAGGCAATACCACAATTGACAAAGGAGAAGAATGATGAAAGCTATAAAATAAAAATAAAAAATCCCAAATTATTGACCATGGACAACTTGAGCAGCGGTGTCACAGCCCGTCTCGGAGAAGTATATTATTTAATTATCGACGATGTGAAATTACCTAAATACCCTTGGACGTTGAGAATTATATTGGAGTGTTGTGGTTTTGACTTAAGGTTGTGGACCTATTAGTTATATTCCTCTATTATTGGACCCAATTAGAACTAAGTGTTCTCTTAGTTTTGATTGGTGGCTTTTGGACCACACACACACCCACCTACCCTCTCTCTCCTCTCGTTCCCGTGCTCTCTCTCTCTCTCTCTCTCTCTCAGATTCACTCTCTCTCTTCTCTCTTGTACGGACACAACCAGAAACCCTTGCAAACGTGACAGATCGAAGAAGAAAATGGTACCATTGTGTTCCTAAGGTCCTCACGAGTTTAAAGGTACCAAATATAGGTAAGATTACCTTCGATTTCACGTCGAACCACAAAAACCGATTTGAGGTACTATTCATGCTCACGTAAAAACTTATGTTTTAGGGAAATTTAAACTCATAGGGAGCTTAAGGAGGTCCTTACGAAGCTCGGAGTATTTCGTTTGAAGAAATTGGATGTCGGAATCATGAGAACGAAGAGTTTTAAATTTGGCCGGAATTATCGAGGCTTTTTTCCGACGAATTTCTGACGAGTTGGAGGTCGGGGCAGGTATGGTTTTGTTTGTCTTGTTGAGATCTTTAAAATGGTACAAATTTCATAGAAAATGGTGCAAAAATGAAGAAGTTATGAAGGTTTTTCGATTTCCCAGTTTTCCGGCAACGGCGAGGAGTCCGGCGAGCAATCGGAGAAGACGAGTGAATATTCCGTCAGAGTTGACGGAATATTCTGACGCCGTCAGGTAAACTTAACTGAATCCATTAGCTTTTAACAAAATATTCCACAGAATATTCCTAACGGGGTTAGAGAATCTGTCAGGATTCCTTGCGCGTGGCCGCGAGTATTGCCGTGCACTCGCCGGCGCGTGGCGATGCGTGCGGGGTCAGAAAATTATTTTACAAATTCCTGGGTGATCGTGACATTGTGTAGGTCACTGTGGTATATTCATATACCCAATTTGAGCTATGTATGAGAAGTTATTACATAGTTTGATATATGTGCATTAAAGTGACGTTTATATAGTTGCTTTTCCTATAGGCGAGACCTATCCGGAGGACGAGCGTAGCCAGGCTAGGCATGGGGGTTACGACCCGGCTTCATATCTATGAGTGGGCAGTTATTTTCAGTCTATATATATATACTTGACGTTTTTCCCAGAAAACGTATTTAAGGAAATGTGATTTAAATGTTATGCTATGCCTATATTTTATTTTAGTATATGCATTATCATAATTTTGCATATTGTTGCATGGTGCTGTGGAGGCTCAGGTAAATTCAGGTAAGTTATGTTTGGTTATGTGAATCATCGATGATGTGATATGTGATTGAATACTGTTGAGCTCATAAAACTGCACCTAGGGTGATTGTGATTTAGCCAGAGATATGAAGTACATGCCTGTTTATTATGTCACCTCCCGCACCATATGCTCATATTAGATCCAATTTAGGTGCACAGTCTTGTCGTACAGACCTTATTTATGGTTCCGACTCGTAGGTGACTAGCGATTTATCGCCCGGCTATTATGTGAGAGTAGTATTGGGCATAATTATATTACACCCATGATCGTCGTACAGACCTTTGCATTTGGTTCCGACTCTTGTGCAGTATATTGCCGTATAGGTCATTGTAGTGACTCTGGTTAGATTGACTTTTGAGCTATGAATTCAGCTGTACAGACTACCATAGGGGTTCTGGCTAACATGTTATATTTCTATGAAACTATTCTTACCTGAATTGCTTATTCTGTTATATATAGGCATGGCATACATACAAATATGAATCTTGATTTTGAGCATGATTTGAGATATATACATATTTATATATTCTATTTTCTAGGAAAGTATCTATATACTTGTTTTACGGCGAGGGGTTAGTATATTCAAAGGAAAATAAGGTTTTTGTGTAAATGTGTTTTGCTGACCCACTCAACTATGTTTTTCTCCCCTCCAGGTTTTAGGTAGCAGAGTTTGGTGGCCACGAGGAATCCAACGGTGCTATGACAGAATCCGAAAAGTAGGATTCACCTTAGGGTGTTGTTGTATCTTAGTAATTGTCCTGCTTGACTGCGACTAGATCTTCTTATTGCTCTGAAAGTGAATCTTGATTTTGCGCACAAGGCTACGTCACGCTCACGTGACGGCCAACACGTCTTGACTTTGGTCAGGTGTGTCAAGCGGAATGGAGAAGTCATTGATGGTGGCTTGCTTCGACGAAGAAGAGAGATTGAGGGTGATATCTGCAGTGTTTGTTGCTAGAATTGTATATATGTTGGTGTTTGGCTAGAGAGTTAAGAATGACAAGTTGTAATTTTATTGGGCATCATAGTCTGGTGAGTAAAATGTAGTAAGTATAACATTACTAAAAAACTATAACTAAATGTAGTAGATATGTCACGCCCCGGACCCGGGGTCGGTAATAAAAAAAATAAAATACTCAAACTCGAATTCGAAACATGAGTTAAAAGCTTAATAAATAACCGGAAATTGAAACGGGTTGGAAAATAAACTCCTCTTATTAAATAGCTCCAAAATCCTTGCAGGGTGTACAAAAGTAATAAATTAAAATCCTTAAATTTCTCCTCAATCACAGCCTCAGCTCTTCTAACACGTCTTGCCAAATAACTCATCTGTAAAATAATAGGTGAGGGGTGAGCAACAACCACCGTCGCTCAGTGAGTAGAATATGTAATATGCCAGTCAAGCTTGCCACTTTAATCACACTATAAAATAGGATAATAAAATCAAAGCTTTAGCCACGTAATTCCATATCACATCGTCCCTTCACATGTTGATCATCTTCTATCTTCTATATATATAAAGTGAGAAGCACACAATGGTGAAGCATTCTGAAATGTCAAAAATGTCCTCATTTCATACGTAAGGCTATTGGATAACTGCTCATAAAAATAGAGTTAAAAACGTAAAAATATGGAATTACATCTCAATAATGATTCCGACCATTGGATCAAATCACCCACACTTTAAATTAATTTTCACCCATTAGATTAAGCATACAGTTACTGCTCCAGATTAAAAAAAAGGATAATCGACCACAACTACTCCAGATGGAATCGAAGCACTCCATATCAGCAGTTGCATAGATTGGAGATGGAACCGACCTCCATCGCACGTTCTCGATCACCACAGTGCATACAAAAGAGTAAATTGGGTAATTTTCTCGAACAATATTCTTATCTATGCCAAAATTTTGAAATGGGTTTTCGCCAGAAATTTTCACTTTCTGCTTCAATTCAGGTACTCTGTGCCTAATTGAATTGTTCATATCTACTAATGTTTTGATTTATTAACTAATTGCCCACTTTAATATATACTAATTTGGAGATTTTTACTTGATTATAATTTGAACTATTTGAAATTATTTATCTTTACCAGATTTTGTTAATGGGTTTTGGACCAATTTGTAGAAAGCTCTCTCTTTTGTGTATTGGTTATTCAGTTTCTGGCTTAATTTTTGCCATTCTGGAATGCCATGTTGGAAGTTCAAATCAAATACAGTAGCCGAAACTAATGGAACACTTTTCAGAAATTGTTGGAACACTTTTCAGAAAGTGGTGAAACTATTTTTAGAAAAGCTACATGTGTGTGTGCATCAAAAGGTGGTGCATGTGTGAAAGGGTGTAAAGATGGTAAACACCATCATTGATTGCATGTGTGTGCATTTGTTTTTATTAAAAAACACTTGAGTGGTTTGTAACTTTTGCATGTATAATTAAGCCTCTTGTAAGGCTTTAGAAAAATCCATCCGAATTCCCATTTCCATTTTAGCTTGTAAGCAATTGAGTTTGTAAACTCTTATTAAATATATCAAAGTGTTTGCTTGTTTTCCGTGCAGTTTGTCCAACACAAAAAGTTTGCTTCTTCATTTATTTTTTTCTTTGTTTAATTGTATTGAGAGTGATAGTGAGATGTATGATAAAGTTAGAAAACTTATCACCCAAATATTTTTGGTATTGAGTTAGTCAACTTTGAAATACCAACAATTGGTATCAGAGCCAGATTACCGTTCTGGCAAGTGCAGTAGCTATGGCATCTAACTTAGTGCAGCTCCAGGTTCCAACATTGAAGAAAGAAAATTATGAAAGATGGTGCATCTAGTTCAAAACATTGTTTGGATCACAGGACCTATGGGAAGTTGTCAGTAATGGGTATGATGAACCCACTACTGAGCAAGAAGCTGCCTACACTGCAGATCAAAGGAATACTCTCAAGGACTTACGAAAGAATGACAAGAAGGTGATGTACCTTCTATATCAAGGATTAGAAGATTCAACGTTCGAGAAGATTGCAGAAGCAACAACCAGCAAGCAAGTTTGGTACACTTTGAGCACAATTTACCAAGGAGTAGATCGAGTAAAAAGAGTTCGGCTTCAATCATTAAGAGCAGATTTTGAGGCTGCTCATATGAAAGAAGGAGAAAACATTTCAGACTACTACTCTCGACTACTTGTAATTGTGAATCAAATGAAAAGGAATGGCGAGAAGCTTGACGATGTTCGTGTCATGGAGAAAATCCTTCGGTCACTCACATCCAACTTTGAGCTTGTGGTGACTGCCATTGAGGAATCCAAGAATTTGGAGACGATGAGTGCAGAGGAACTGCTAGGATCCCTCCTAGTTCATGAACAACGCATTCAGAAGAATGCAAGCCCCACAACGCTAGAGCAAGCTTTGGAGTCAAAGTTGAATATTGACAAACCAAATGGAGGTCGTGGACAGTGGAATTCACGTCATGGAAGCTCATCCAATCATAGCCGAGGACGAGGCCGAGGAAGAGGTTGAGGCTATGCACAAAACCGAGGTCAATCTCAATAGTGGAGATCTACTTGAGGAAAGGCGCATATCCAGTGTCACAGTTGCAAGCAATATGGACATTATGCCAATGAATGTTCATATAAAAATGGTGAGCATGTCAACATGGCAGAATCAAGTGGAAATGCTGGTGAGGAATTTACAGTCTTACTAGCACACCATGATATCAGTAGCCAACAAGATGTTTGGTATTTGGACTCTGGTGCAAGCAACCACATGTATGGAAAGAAAGAGTTTTTTGCTGAACTCAAAGATGGGCCTTATGGATCTATAAGTCTTGGTGACTCCCCAAAGTTGCCAGTTGAAGGCAAAGGAAAGATCAAAATCATCTAGAAGGATGGTAGAGAAGAATACATCTCTGATACCTACTACATACCATGTATGAAAAGCAACATTCTGAGCATTGGTCAATTGTTCCAGAAAGGGTATGTTATACATATGGAGAATATGCTTCTCACTCTCAGGAATGCAAGGAGAAAGCTTATTGCAAGTGTTCAAATGTCAAAGAACTGAATGTTCCCGTTGAAGTTGAACACAAAGATTGGAAGCTGCAACATTGGTGTGATAGAAGATGAGTCATGGAAATGGCATCTTCGGTTTGGCCATCTTCATTTCAATGGCCTAAAGTTATTGTCAAGTGGAGAAATGGTTCGTGGTCTACCCCAGATTGAAGCCACACACCAAGTATGTGAAGGTTGTGTGCTTGGCAAACAAGCACGATCATCGTTCCCTGTTGGTGATATATGGAGAGCAAAGGCACCACTGCAGTTAATGCACACGGATATATGTGGTCCGTTGGATCCTATGTCCTATGGAGGTAATAGGTATTTTATTACCTTCATTGATGATTTTAGTAGGAAGACTTGGGTTTATTTTCTCAAGGAGAAGTCGGCTACCCTAAGAATCTTCAATGAGTTTAAGGCACTCACAGAAGCTGAAAGCAACCACAAGCTTGTGGCTGTGAGATCAGATAGAGGTGGAGAGTACACCTCAAATGCTTTCCAAGCATATTACAAGGAGTAAGGAATTAGGCATCAACTGATTGCTGCCTATACCCCACAACAAAATGGGATAGCCGAAAGAAAGAATCAAACCATCCTTGACATAACAAGGTCTATGCTTAAAGAGAAGAATTTGCCAAAAGAATTGTGGGTAGAAGCTGTAGCTTATTCGATTTATTTGTTGAATCGATGTCCAACAAAGAGTGTCAAGAGGATGACACCACAAGAGGCTTGGAGTGGATACAAGCCGAATGTTGCACACTGCATATGCTCAAGTTCAAGAAGCCAAGAGGAGGAAACTCGATGATAGAGGTGAGAAGTGTGTGTTCGTGGGCTATAGTGGAAAGTCCAAGGCATATAAGCTTTACAACCCACTAACTGGAAAATTAGTGGTTAGTAGAGATGTCATCTTCAGTGAGGAAGAGGCATAGAAGTGGAACAACAAAGAAGTTAGTAAAGAGAAGATTGTTTCCACTGATTTTGAAGAACCAGAAGTTGTACCACTTATTAAGCAACAACCTGCTCAATCAATCACAACAACTCCATTGCACAGAATTGCAAGGAGTGGTCATACTTCCAGTGAAGAAAGCAGCTCCTCAACTCCAGTGAGGCTAAGAAGTCTCATTGAGATATATGGACAAGAAAGAGAAGAAGAAACCAACCTTTTCTACTTGTATGCAGACCATGAGCCTCTCTCATTCAATGAAGTTATGGAAGAAGATCGTTGGAGAATAGCCATGGAGGAAGAAATCCATGCCATCGAGAAGAATCACACTTGGGAGTTAACAAAGCTCCCACCAAATCAGAAGGCTATTGGTGTCAAGTGGGTCTATAAGATCAAACGCACTGCAAATGGGAGTGTGGATCGATACAAATCAAGGCTTGTAGCGAAGGGCTACAAACAGAAGTATGGAATGGACTATGATGAAGTCTATGCTCCAGTTGCAAGACTTGACATGGTAAGATTGCTAATCTCTCTTGCCGCTCATCATAAATGGAAAATTTATCAACTAGATGTCAAGTCAGCCTTCTTAATGGAGTACTTGAGGAAGAAGTGTACGTGGAACAACCAAAAGGATTCCAAGTACAAGGAGAAGAAGAAAAGGTGTATCGTTTGAAGAAGGCTTTGTATGGCCCCAAGCAAGCACCACGAGCTTGGAACTCAAGGATTGATAACTACCTTCACCAAAATGGATTTCAGAAATGTCCATACGAGCATTCAGTTTACATGAAGAATGGTACAAAAGGGGAGTTCTTAATTATTTGTCTCTATGTAGATGACTTGTTGTTTACAGGAAACAATGAAGCAATGTTCCATGAGTTCAAGCAATCCATGTTCAGTGAATTTGAGATGACTGACAATGGATTAATGTCATACTTTCTTGGCATAGAGGTGAAACAAGAAAGTGATGGTATCTACATCTCTCAACAAAAGTACATAAGAGATATATTGGAGAAATTCAATATGGACAAGTGCAATATTGTCAACACTCTAGTTGCAATTGGATTGAAGCTGTCCAAGGAAGGAGAAGGTGAGTTTGTAAACTCAACCGTGTACAAAAGATTGGTTGGAAGCCTAAGGTACCTTACAATCATAAGACCTGATATAGTTTATGGCGTTGGACTCGTGAGTCGGTACATAGAAACACCAAGGAAGTCTCATTGGCTGGCCGCCAAGAGAATTTTGAGGTACATAAGAGGTACTCTAAACTATGGTCTGTTTTATAATTTTGGTGAAGATGCAAAATTATTTGGTTATTCAGATAGTGATTAGGAAGGTGACCAAGATGAAAGGAAAAGCACAACTGGTTATGTGTTTTTTCTAGGATCAACAACTTTCTCATGGACTTCAAAGAAGCAATCAATTATTGCTTTGTCATCGTGTGAAGCCGAATATGCTGCTATAGCCTCAACTGTGTGTGAGGCAATTTGGTTAAGAAATCTGTTGAAGTCAGTGTGTCATCCACAAGTGGAATCGACTGTGATTCATGTGGATAACATCTCAGCTATCAAGCTTGCTAGGAATCCAGTCCAACATGGAAGGAGCAAGCATATTGATACCAGGTTCAATTTTCTGAGGGACCATCTGAAGCAAAAGACAATTGAACTTGTCTATTGTCACATGAAGGAACAAGTAGTTGATGTGGATGCAAATTTTCTCCTCTTCGATCTTGGACGATTTTGCACCTACAAAACAACTAGCACCTTAGGTTAAGGCCAAAAGCCTCACGCGCCCACGATGAATGGGGGGGGGCTTTGGCCGAAGAACCTCCGATGCCAAAGTTAGAATTTTAGAGAGAAATAGTGTTTAGAGTGTTTTGGAATTTTTGCAAGAGATTTGGAATGAGTGTTTGGTAAAAATGGGTGACTATTTATAGGACCAAATTGGTCCACATCTTCAAGAAATGGCCGGCCCTTTCTTTGTGCTTTGGGATGAATTTGTGGTTTTATTAGCCACTTTATTGGCTAATAAAATATAATAGAAATAAATGGGAAGTTACCCAATTGAATGACTAGCATTATTTGGCTAATAAAGTGGAAGAAATTTGAAAAGGTGTGGAGCAAAGAGAGGGAATGTGGCCGGTCTACTAGGTGGGATTTTAGGGTTTATTTTAGGTTTAATTAGCCAATTAATTGGCTAATTAAATATGAAAGGAAATGTTTTAGTATTTATGGTATTGATTGGCTAATTTAAAAGGGAAGGAAAGGTGGAAAAGGTAGAAAAAGGTGATGGAATAGGCTTTGAATGGGGTAGCCGGCCCTATATATCATTTTTTAGGTTTGAGTGGATGTTTCAAATTGATAATTAAGGGATGATTTTAGGAGATATGGGAAGAATATATTATTTAGATAATTAATTAACTAAATAATATATTAGGGAAATTAAGTTTTGGAAATAATTACCTAAAATAAGATAATTTGGAATTGGTTACCTCTTTTGGAGCATTTTTGAATTGGTTGAGGATGATTACCCACTACTTGCGCGTAGGAATCCCGGTATGCCTCAAGGGTATTTTTGTCCTCTTTCATTCAAAAGTCCACGTGTCGCCTAGCGAATATTTTTGGCTCCACAAATGCCCCCACACCTGTTGGGCTGCTTGCAAAAAAGGGCAACAGGTGTAGAGATTTTCTCACTTTAGGCAACTCTGAATTGATTTCTATTTTGTTGTTGATTCTCTCTTTAAATGGAAATTAGATCCTTCTAGGAAAGGGAAATAAATTTCTCTCAAAGCCTATTTAAGTCCACCTTAAGTGGGTTATTAAATCAACTTTGGAGAGCGATTTATTCTACCCTACAGGAGAGAGATAGCTTAGAGGATATTTGTTCCCCCTCCTCTAGCAATCTTCTACATCTTGCCCGTGCAAAGGACCGTATTTCGTTGCTTTCTTCGTCTTCTTCGTGCCGCACCAATGTAAGAAAAATTTAATTTTTCTTGCCTTATTCTTGGATAGTGCTATTGCGGGGTGGTGCGGCACGTCGGCTGGCAGGGGCCAGAAGCTGGCTCGGCATGAGCTGAGGAGATATCGTGGCAGGGACCACTGCTTGGGCAGCTTGGCTTGGCCTGAGCCAAGGGCAGCTTGTGCAGCTGGGGTCGAGGATTGTGGCGCTAGGGCACAGTGTTAGGCGAGCTGCATAGCTCATGTCCTTTGGGCTCTTGGACCTGACTCGGGCCAGGCTGACGATTGAGAGAAATAAGGAGATTGCGGGTCTCATGGGCTGCTGGAATGTTGGGCATGTATGCCTTCTGCCTGCTGGAATGCTGGGTTGAGCTCCCCTGCTGAGTACCATGAATGTCGTTGGCTACTTAGTCTTCTTTGCTGAAAGAAAGGTGGGCTGCTCCAGAAAGATGAGGTAAAGAGGATCAAGGCGGATGCACTGGCTCGTCTGATCGCTGTCGTGGAGCTTACTATGAATGAAGATGGAAAGAAGAGATCTTCCCCGCCTGCTCATGAGATGCCTAGTTAATA